GCATATCTCTGTTCTCTCAACCAACTACCACAAAATCGCTCTCTCGTAGAACAAAAATCTTATTGAAATTATCAATGGAAAAACGCAAAATCATGTACATGTATATTTTTGAGGGTTTAGTTTCTAACGACTAAGTATATGAATTGCCCTAGAGAAGGAAAAAAAAAACAAAGAAATTTTAATAAATGAATGGAATACAGCCATAAAAAGAAAAGGGGAGCTAATTCAAGTAATTTAATGGCCACGGCCTCTTGCACTCGGACCCGACGCCAAACGCTGAAACCACGAATCCACCGTTGACTTGACCTTCTCCATCCTCACCGTCTCCTCCGGTAGAACCCTCCCCGCCGCGGCCGGAACCACCACTTGTTCTATCACCAGCAACGCCACAATCATCGTCACGATCAATATAGTTGACCAACTAACTCTCTTCATTTGGGTTGTACCGACACACAAAGCTTCGTAGTAATCAATCAAGTAATTAATAAAGTAAATTTATCCCGAAAAAAAAAGAAAAGAAGAAGTTATCACTTTTGTTTTGGTGAAGGAAGAAAATATGGAGATTTGGTTTGTGGGATTAGAGAAAGGAGAGGGAGAATGTGTATTTATATATATGCTTAAGTAACGAGGAAGCGGTCATAACTCGAGAGAGCTCATCACTTAGGTCGGATTTTTCAGGCGACATCTCACTATATGCGTGTTGACCAAGTATTCTGACTTGAACGGGTCGCTCTATGTCACTTTACGATCTGTGAAATTACATTTTACCCTATCTTTCGTGTCTCTTTTGGCGGTTGTGGAGTTCTGAAATTATCCTCCTATTAATTAAATCAGAACTTTGTAAAAAAGAAAAAAACCATTTAAGAGTTTTCGTTTACGCGGTTATTATTCTGAAACGAATTATTGAAGCTAACAATTATCAAGATGCAATATAAAATTTATCTTCATAATATTCATCTGCTTTTATCAAGATTTTAATTTTCTAAATATGACAAATGAAATACTAACATTTTAATCTTACCAATGATTATTTGTATACTATTAGATTATCAGCAATTACCTAGCAACATTCAAAACAATTCGATTATTAGAAGTTTGTACATTATGTGACAAAGAAAATATACAGATGCTTAATTTTGTTCAGAAAAGTCATGTTTGAGTTTTGAAACTTAACGCGTATGTCACAAGATTGATCAATTACGGTACCACAAGAGGACCAATTCACAGTTTCACCTAAACGATACTTAGAGCATGTTTATTGGTGAATCACCAAAATTAATTTAGTATTAACTTTAATAGTTTTTGGGATAGTTGCACAAATAATCCACAATTTGTGGTCAATGTCAAACCTATACTCCTATATCCCCTCTCTCTTATTTTGCCACTTTTTCCCTTCTTTATCCTTCTCCTCACCACTTATTCACGAAAATACCATTATATTCTGATTTTTTTTTTTAATTTCGGAAATATTGGAAAATACACAAAAACCAAAAGATCTCAAGATATTTACGAAAATGYCATCTTCTTCAATTTTGCCAACCACCATGAACAACCGATTTTGAGCTCTAAATGCATCCCAACCGTTTTTTTTAAAGTGTAAATGCTCAATATCTCATCTHATTACCTATTCTCTTCCTTTTCCTCACGAATTGCATCAAATAAACTCTCAACAAACCATTTCGTTTATAAACACACCGATTTTCGATGGTTCTTGCATAACAAGGACTTGGGTTCTTTGTTATCAGTGAGATTCAAA